TGCGTTTTCATAATCGCTGTTAAATTAGTAAATTTTGAAAAATTTTCATCAGTTTTTTTTTTAAATAAAAATTGTGCATAAGTTAACGAGTAATCTTCTAGGTGTTATACCATTTTGAATCGTTATTAAATGCGCCAACTTTTAAGGTTACTTGCCAAACTCTCGTAGTACATTTTTTCCAGTACAGCCAGTTAAAGTTGAGCAAAGTTTTACATTGGAATACTTGGTTGGGAAATAAGTGGCAATTTTTCCTGAACGAGAAAAGTTGGCAGTAAGGTTGAGACACCAGTTTGAAGATGCATTATTCATCATTACACTGTAAAAATAAAATAAAATCCAAAAAAAGTTAATATTTGTAGTAACAGAGTTGACAGACTGCCGTAGGGTGTGAAATTTCATATCTTTTTCAAAGACCTATAATTTTCAAAACACATACATAAAATTTTTTTAAATATTTTTCTGATAGCTGCTATTGTAAGAACAGAGCGTCGATTTAACAGAAACACATGGTTTCAACAGGACTGCCCATACTTCCAGAGAATCGACGAACATGGTGAAAACACTTTTTCCTCAAAAAGTTGTACCGAAGTTTGGAGACATCCGCTGGCCTTCTAGGTCACCCGACCTCACGCCGTACGATTATTTTTTGTGCGGTTATCTAAAGTCAAAAGTGTATTCCGATAATACACGAACATTGACAACAAAGACAACATTCGACGAGAAATAGACAACATCATTCCGGAACCCTGCAAAAGAGTGTTTCAGAATTTGCGCGCGAGTATGTCCGAAGCGATTTTTTGGACGGAACGATATTCAAGAAATAAAACTCGCCGAATTCACGAATATGTTGATAGCTATAAATATTTTCTTTTCATTAAGTTTGTATTTTTTTCTTAAATCAAAAAGTAAACTTTCAGGTAACAGTTTTTCAAGATGTTATTCAGATGGGAGTTAAAATGTAAGTTCGAGTCAAAATAAATGCCCAATTTCTTACTTTTAAAGAAGACATAATTTTCGTTCTCGTTATCAAGATCTGCATTTACTAGCATCATGGATTTGCGGACATTGTCGGTATTAAAAATTGGGCTTGCCTTGCAGTTATCATGTAAATTTACAGTGTGAAGAAAAAACATCGAATGTACTTTGATGTCGAAATTTGATTTTTGATAAGGTTTTGATCTTACATCTACGAAACAAGTTATCGTCTGTACAATATTTGCGCAATACAACATTTTGCATTACGAGCATCATGATTTCAACTAGTTAGCGCTTTGTGTTTTAATGCAACATTATCTCGACTAACATCTAGCATGCACCGGCACGACACTAGAAATCGTTGCAAAATCGTTTAACGTCGAATTTATTCAAATAATATATTAAAATATCCTTTGCAGTGTACATGATAGGCGACCGAACTTCGTGGAATATTTACACGGTGTCGCTGAATACAGTAAGTTGCCTGACGACTGAATTAGGTTATGCTTTAAGACTAAGTTTCACCGAGGAATGTCGAAATATGAATATCGAATGAGGATAAATTGAAACACGAATTATGTAGTCGGAACTTCAAAATTCGTTTTTAAAAAACTTTATTTGATTCCAACAACAGTTTACATGGACCGAACCGGAATTACAGTGTGTGTGTGTTCGCTGTGACTAAGATTGAATGACTGACTCATAATTAAGATACAATCGTTAATATAAACCAAAAGTGATGAGCTAGTAAAAAGGAATACAATGCAATTATATATCAATTAATAAAGTGTTAAATGACAGCAACATAACTCACGGTGAAACTCGCTATGGGTACCTAAGATCTTAACAGAACCATACTAGGCTAGCTCTTAGAAAACTGCTTTGTGCTGAAAATTTATCTTGGAGATGTGTTGGAAGCAATGAGTAGAAAATTGAGTCGGTTGTTTAACAAACCTTATAAACAAAACTGGGCCAAGTTCCCACTCAACAGCGTCATCTGTTGATGAAGCATTCACTGTTCGGCATTCTAAAAATTTTTGTCGCTCTTCGAAATTTTTCCG